AGTCGGTGAGTAGCAGCATGTACAGAATGGGGGAAGAAAGGTGGGGCAAGAGCGTTGAGAGGCGCAGAAGTTGAAGTGGAAGAGGAGGGAGAAAGGTTACGTATTGTAAGCTGGCTTCGTATATTCATTGGTATTTTTTAATTGTCTCCACATCTCGTAATATGCGCAAGCTCCACTGCAGCCACTTCATTAAATGGAAAACCTCACACACACACACACACACCATCTTCAATCCAAGTGGTCTCTTCGCCTGCAAAAATAATTCTCAATCAAATTTTCGGCCAGGAGCCATCACATCGTCTGCTCAAAAAAGATTCTCTGTGGAAGAGCTTGGAGTCATGCTAACTGACTATACCATCCTGTGCTGATACTACAAGAACTGAGGAAGCTAGATTCAATGCATTTAGCTGAACATTTAGCTGATAAAACCTTCCATAGGCACTGTTACAGCCGGTTTTTTCTTCTTTTTTTTAACAATTGAACACTCACTGCATGATGAACTAAAATGAGGAGGAGAACTCAACACAATAGTACATATCCAGCAGGACGGAGTGGGCGGGACCTGTGAAGCTCAGCCGACCAAGGGTCTCGGCATCACAGCTGCACATGTGCACCAAAGGAAACAAAACGGGGAGTGGAAGGGCGGGGAGCAGGAGAGCAAGAACTCTGAGGGTAGGAAAGAGAGGAGGGAGGGGAGGAAACCAGGAAACTTGTTAGTTTGCGAGTGATTCCAAGATATGAGTGCAAACAAGTACACAAACAAGTACAAATATAGCAGTATCAAGATCATGATGCTGAGGCGAAAGTAGTCGCTGATTGTCGTGCAGTTTTGACGAAAGATTAGAGTGAGAATTGAGGAGAGTTAGAGAGAGATAAGGACATAGTATATTATGGATTGGGAGTTTGATGAGAAGGAAGTGCTCCGAGAACAGGAACAGGGTCGTAATGGCAGTAGCCTAGGGGGCGATGTCCGTGGCCAATGACCACCCAGACCGTTTCAGGTAGCGGTCGGTCAGAACCTTGAACTGCTGCATTCCTTTGGCAGACGGTGCATCGCGAAGGAGAGTGGCTGGCAGTTCATTCCAGGCTTCGATGAGGCACTCCAGGAAAGAGCGCAGCGCAACATTGCACGATCTGGCAGGTAGGGCTGTCTGGAGTTGAAGCTCGTCCGCAAGGTTGGCTGACGAGCGGCGATGTGTGGCAGGCGCGATGGCGGGTGCGATTGCTCTGGCTGGGCGTGTCGCTGCAAGAGCTGGTGGGCTTGCGATGTAATGGAGCTTGTATAAAGTTGTGAGGCCGGCCACACGGCGCCGCAGGGACAGAGTGTCCATTGCAGCCCCTGTCCAAATCAGGGTTAGGGCACGATGCTGGATGTGAGAGATGGGTAGCCCCAGCTCCCATCCATACAAGTGGGCAGTACTCCATTAGAGGCCGAATGAAACCCCGGTATGCTGTGGCCCGGCCCGGTGGGTGCAGGACATGGCACGCCTTCCGGAAGAAACCAATTCGCTGTGTGCCAAGCACTGCAGTTCCTCGAAGATGCTCTGAGGATGATAGATGGGCATCAAACGTCACTCCAAGGAGCTTCAGCCGCGAGCATTCCGGGACCGCTGGGCCGTTGAACTGGATGGGTGGTGTCTCCCAGGGGGTGCGGTGGCGGGACACAGTCATGGCCTGTGATTTCGTTAGCTCGAAAGTGACGCGCCACTGAGCACCCCATTCAGCAAGTGCATCCACACTAGCTTGGAGGTTGCGGCACACTTCTGTCACAGCATGTGGCGTTGGGATGTGGGCATAAAGCGTGGTGTCATCTGCGTAAGCAGCCGGAGTGATCCCTTCCAGTAGGATGTCGCAGGCGTCATTCACATACAGCAAAAACAGTGTGGGCCCAAGGATGCTCCCCTGTGGGACCCCAGCATCAATCTTGTACGATTCTGAAGATGCTCCGCCGACTATTGCCTGCAACTTCCTGTCGTAAAGGTAGTCAGACAGCCAGTTGAGGAGGGACCAATGATGCCATAAGACGCAGCCTTGTGGAGCACACCTTGGTGTGAAACTTTGTCGAATGCTCCTGCTATGTCTACAGCCAGCACGCGGACTGCGCCACCACGGTTGACTTCGGAGACCCAGGAGTGGTTGAGAGACGTGAGAAGGTCAGATGTGCTGAGCCCCTGCCGGAATCCGGACTGGTGGATGGACAAGGCCTTTTCATCCTCAAGATGATTGATTATGGCAGTGTTGACAATCTTTTCCATGACTTTGGAGACAACAGATAACAAGGACACAGGTCGGTAGTTCTTAACAGCAGAATGAGATTGCTTCTTGTGTATCAGGACCACACGGGCTACTTTCCAGAGAGAAGGCTGGACATGGGACCAGAAACAGAGTGAGAACAGCTTGGCAAGTGGTGCAGCCAAAACTTTTGAGCACTGCTTCAGAACTCTGGCAGGGATGCCATCGGGTCCGGTAGCCTTGGTCGGATCCAGCTGGCGGAGCTGGCGCTGGACTGTCGCTTCCCGAAATCGGACAGTTGTCAGGGCAGATGTACACCTAGGAGGAAGGTCAGGAAGGTCGGAGTGCTGTAGATCTTAATCACTCAGACTGCATTTGCTCGCAAAGAATTCTCCAAAGCAAGTAGCCTTTTCCTGGTTGGTGACATATTCTCTGCCCTGGGCATTGCGTAGGACAGGGATAGATGAGCTGCGGCCAGAGCCTGCAGCTTGCTTCAGGAGTGACCACCATTGCTTGTTTCGCAGTGATCCATGTTTGAGCCGATCTCGGATGCGGGCAGATTCTGCCTGCTTTGCGAGACGGAGGCAATTGGCAGAGGCTCGGACTTTGGCATTGTAGTCAATGAGTTGCTGGTGGCAGGTGGGGTGTCTCCTGAGACGGTTCCTTGCATTCTTCTTTGCCTGGGTAGCGGCTGAGCATTCCGGCGTCCATCAGGATGGTTCTGTTGGTTTCGTCGAAAGTTCTTTGTGTGGGATAAAGCGATTCATGCCTTCCATGTTAACAGCGGTTACTGATCTGCAGGACGCCTCGGGGTCTACTGATATATCCCAGTTTGCTGTTGAGTAGAAGTGCCGAAGCCGGCCCCAGTCTGCCTGAGCATACCTCCAAACGCGCCGTTTAGTCCGTGGTTCGCGGAGTGGGGTGGCATTAAAAGTGGCCACAACGTTGGCATGGTCTGATGCTCCAATGGGGTCCAGTACATTTACCACCACTGAGGTCTCCGAGAAGTCGCTGAGTATGAGATCCAGGGTGTTCTCACCGCGTGTCGGTTGAGTAACGTGCTGGTGGAGCCCGTGGAACGCAGAGTGTTCTTCCATGTATTCACCAGCTGGTGTAGTCTTCGTGCTGCATAGCCAGCTTTTATTATGAACATTTAAATCACCAGCTATCACAACGCTGTTCCCGAGGGATCGAGCTTGATCCATGACTAAGTCAAGATACTCAAGCAGAGAGACATCTTGTCCAGGGCACGGCCCGGGTCAGTACACGGCACATACATCTACTTTCTGGCCGTTGTCCAGGTGCAGGCGAAGCCAGATGACCTCATGGCCATGGCAGTTGATGTCACTCAGGTGGTCAAAGGAGAGGGAGTCCCGGACCCAGACTGCACCTCCGCCGCCTTGAGCAGATCTGTCAAGTCGGAGGGGTAGGTGGAAGCCCGGCATGGAGGAGTCAGATAGTGAGGCTTTCTCCGGTGTAAATTTAGTCTCTGTTACGATGGCGATGTCAGATCTGCTCCATGCAACAGCATGCTGGAAGGCTCCAAACGTTGACAGCAACCCCAAAGCATTTGTCAGCAGGAGCTTCATTACTGAGTATGTCCTTGCGCAGCTGGTGTTCATTGGTGTTTGCGTGGCTAAATCGCTCCAGCGGAAGCAGCCTCTGCCTCACTGTCCCTATCGCCTCTGCTGCCCACGTTGACGGCGCCAGATGTACCAGATGACCTGTCATCCTGCGGCCGTTTGCGGTGTCGCCAGGCTCGAGCGTAAAGCGGTCGTGGCCAGAAGTTCACAGCAGTGACTGTTTCTAAGCCAGTGGCATCGAGCGTCAATTGGGCGGAGACTTTCCCGTCTTCCGTGGTGTGCATGCTGCACTCATGGACCTTGACGGATTTTGCCACGGCCACAGATCGCTGCTGAGATCGTCACTCGCTCCTCTGTGCAATCAGCATTATGGTTTACCACATACACGACTGCCTTCCTTGTTTGGTGGGGTTCTTTAGACACTAGTTTCCATGATTCATCAGCGATTGGGTCGAACGATTTTTTCTGGGGCTTGACTGGGGACGCCCAACAGTCTGAAAACGTTCGTCTTCCTCACTCGAGATCTCACGATCACTGCCAGTGTCATCCACGTGTACGTGTTTGAAAGCGCTACGGTGTTCTCCTCCTGCTGCACCAGTGCATTTGGTGACCTGGTCTTTTCGTGTACGGGTACGGCTACGAGATCCCTTCCACCTCGTCGTACTCTGGGGCTGTTGTTCAGCCGAAGGAAAGGTAACACTTGCCGTTGCAATGGCGGACTCCTTCATGGCGACAACCTCCTCTTTCAGTCCTGTTATCTGCATGACCAGTTCGTCAATCCGGTTTTTGAGACCGACCTCCCGGTTTGCAGATTCCGACACGAGCGCTGACAGCGTCTTGACAATTTCAAAGACGGACGATTCGATTTCAGGGATGGAGCTCAAAGGTTTTATTTCCGATTCCGTCAGGCTGCGAGTGGCAGTTCTGGCCGGCATAGCTACCTGTGTCTACCTACTAGTACTACCTAGACTATCTACTACTCACCACTCTTCTCTTCTACCCTGTAACTACCTCCAGACCGGCCTGGTGCCGGCTGGGCTGAGAAATCGCACGACAAACTACGGAGCTCGAAAAAGTCCAACCGTACTCTTCAACATGCAAAAAACTTTATTGCATAAGCAAATATCACACCGCCGTGCTACATGCCTCAGCATCGTACTCACAAAGCACTGCATACAAGCTTACATTGTTAGTGACATTGACATCGGCTTTGGCATTGCACAATATCCTAACACAGTCAAAAGAGTTGATCTCGCAGGCTGATTGGAGAGGGGTCACACCATTCTTCAGAGAACAAGAAGTACAGAAAATACATACAGTGCTCTTTTTTAATTTCAAGTGGAAATGTATGCTCATAAAACAGCAAAAAATACTCACACACACATGCACAAAAAATGGTGAAGAAATGATCACACCCATTCATGCACGCGCGCACGTACGCACGCATGCACCCCCCCCCCCCCCCCACACACACACAGTGATATAACTTATCACGTGGGCCTACCCTTGGGAGAGGGGAGAGAGACTCAAAAATAACCTCGGAAAGATGACTCCATTGGCTATTGAACCGCCCAACGGCCAATACACCCTGAAATCCGTAAACTATTGGTGGACTTGGAAATGAACCCACTTATGGGCTCACCACACACACACCTCAGCGAGTGGGTGAGGGTAAAGTGCAGAAAAAGGATTGACGCCATCAGGGTATCCGTCACGGGATCCAGCTGCAGTTACCCCTGCCCCCGGCGAAGGTAATGGTTGCTACTAGTGTGGGTGGCTAAATCAGAGTGGACCTGATATAAGCTTCACTAGCACCACCGATTACACACAATGACACACGTATATACATACACGCCCGCCCCCCCCCCCCCACCCCCCCCCCCCCCACACACACACACGGATAGAGCCAATCTTCTAGCCGAGTACAGAACCTCAGTCTAAGTCATCATCATTTAGTGCATTGCCCACTCCCTGTCTTCCACCTACGAAGGACCTATTCCAGATCAAGCCTTTGTCAACTGCATCCATATTCAATGCATTGGTTTGCCTCCGTCAACTGCATCCATATTCAATGCATTAGTTCGCCTCTCCGTGCGATGCTCCCAGCCGTCGTGCTGCCCAACCGTACCCTCCGTGAATTAGCTGAAGTATTAGCCCAATCCCTGACCGAACTCTTCAACCGTTCCATTTTATGCAGTACCCAGCCTCTTGAGTGGAAGTCAGCGGTAGTCATTCCCCTGTACAAGGGTAAAGGAGATGCCTCTGACCGCTGAGTTACCGACCCATTTCCCTCCTTGATGGAGTCGGTGAACTCTTTGAATCAATGATTAGTCGTCAGGTCTACTCGTTTGTAGAGGTCAATAGCTTACTATCTCTGAGCCAGTTTGGCTTTCAGCATTTTGCTGTCAACTGCCATGCCAAGCACACGGGGGCAAAATCCACCGCCTACGCCAGCTTGCTGTAAGGTGAGAGCACATGCCGACCCCACTATGGGCTCCCAGCAGGCCCCAGTCACCCTTGGACCTGACCTCCACGAACAGCAGAAGCCAGCAACACCACCAACAACTCCACCAGCACTGGAGCAAAGCTGCCCACAAGTACCGGTAGTAGAGGTCGAAACAAACGCCAACACCGGCCCAAGTCTGTCTGTAGGACACAAAGACGAGGAAGACCCTGACATTGCAATCACCTCTGACGGAGGGCTCATACCTGGGCAGCATGACGAAATGCGCCCACACGAAATGACCAATATACATCATCAAGCAGCTGCATCCGCTGATTCGAGCGGCTCGGAAGCGGATGCAGAAGACCAGGGTCACTACACTGCAGCCGAAAAAGACGACAAAGTACTATCTGATGCACTGAAGTCGTCCAAGGGCCAGCGGGAATCGATATCACCAGAACACCACAGCAGATTCACTTTTGTCAAGAATAGATGACCCAGGAAAGAGAAGCCAACTCGTTTGCACTCCCCGAGCGTGAGTACTAGTCATCTTTCTCAATAGTGTTGACATCAGCCTATCTATCTATTATCATTATGCCTTCTCCCCGACTTAACCCCTCTGCAGCAGGTTTTGTTCCCCGCCCTTCTATTCCCTGACTTTGTCTTTACATGACCAATGCATTTGGACTGCTGTCCAAACTTGCGCGGTGTTCCCAATAAAAAAATATAAAAAAATATCTTTACCACCAAAGCGATCTTTTGTAGGCAGAAAAAATTGTTTACATTGAAATTGTTTGTGAATTTAGATCAGTAGTTCTCGTTTTTGGTTGCATAGTTACTTTCTAGTGGTGAATTTATCTCATTTGCTGTCACCTGATATCGTTGATTGGTGTAATTTTCTTTCAGCTCTCATTGCTCGCACTAGATAAAGTGATAAAGTGCAGCCTCGGAGCAGACGACGTTACAAACGATCTGCCATCAGACGATCTGCCACCTGTAACACCTCACACTGAGTCTTGGCTTACTGCCGTCGACTTTCGAACGGATACTGTCAAAAGAGAGCTCAGAAGACTGAATCCCATAAAAGCCACAGGGTGCTGAAGAATTGTGCTAATGAGCTCTGCTTGCCTGTTGCCCAGCTGTTCTCCTTGTGCTTTCGGCAGGATGTGCACCGGAGGCTGTGGAAGGTCGCCGGGGTTGTTCCGATTCACAAGAAGAAAGCTAGATTAGATCTGCGCAACTGTCGTCCGGTGTCTCTCCCATGCATTTATTCCAAGACAATGGAAACAATCTGCAACCACTGTATCATAAACTTCTTCTCTAAGCACAGTATAATCTCCTCTCGACAATATGGCTTCCGGAAGGGACTCGGTACATATGATCAGAATTATTCTATTAACCAAGCTGCACAACGACTGGTCATCCACTGCAGCGAGCGGTGGAATGGTACATTAGTCTAGGAGCCAAGTCAGCAAAAGTCCAAGGAATAAGGAGTTACATGTACTGGCCATCGACATCGCCGAGGCGTTTGACAAGGTTTCACATCGAGGTGTACTCCATAAACCAGAGGCATGCGGCATCAGTGATCCGCTCATTCGCTGGCCCTCAAACTACCTCTGCTGTCGGCAACTACGTGCTGTAGTCGAAGGACAACATGCAGTCATCAGAATACCCTGTGCTTGCTGGGGTCCCCCAAGGGAGTATCCTGGGTCCAACCCTGTTTCTGGTTTACGTAAACGACTGTGAGGAAGAAATACCGGATAGCACCTCTCTGGCTCTATACGCAGATGACACCACAGTCTACCAATGCATTGCGGCTTCGTGCGACATCCCAGATAGTGCGACCCAGCTTCAGCTTGCCGTGGACCCTATCGCCCGAAAGGGTACTGAGTGGAAAATAACTTTTGAACCGACCAAGTCCCTTTACGCTCACGATTGATTTTCACCGTCCGGCAACACCTCTTCCCCACGTACTGTTCAACGGTACCAGGGTGCCTGAAGCCGGCAAGATAAAGCTCCTCGGGATTTTGTTCGATACCACTGGCCCGCCTGGACGCAGTACAATGCAGGCACTAAAGCTGATAGGCCCTGGTGTCTCCGTACCAAGCCTGGAGCATAGGCGCAGGGTGGCGGCCCTGAGCTTCCTGTGCAAGCTCCGCTTCCTCCCGCCGATGAGCCACTTGAAAGCAATTATGCCCAAACCTCTCCAGCTGGCAGATGAAACCCCCAACACCCGTCTCTCCGCCCAGCGACGCCAGTCACACGACTTTCCATTGTGCCTGCCTTGTCGTTCCCGCTCAACCATGGCCAATGCTCTCCCTGCTTGCGGCTGAGCGCATTAAACTCTCCAACTGGATGGAAGCAAGGCTTGTAAACCTGCTATATGAACTTGCTGAACTACACGCTCTCATGTATTCTCTTTCTCAATCCCCCCCCCCACCCCTTCCCCTCCCGCTTCCCCTGTTCTTTCTCTTTCCCTCAAACTTCCATTTATCTGGTGCCTCCAGAGCATGACGATGTCTAGACAAGTTGGTCGACGGAGCGCCTGGCCTCCACCACGATGGTTGCTGCATGTTCCCATTGCGTGCACCACATGGCTTTCAGTAAAAATATAAAAGGACTCAGTGTTCTTCCTCCCTCTGGGTCACCTTCTTTGTACCAGCTGCATTATCAACAAACTGCATTAACTGTGGACGACCGCTGGCGACAAAGTCATACTGGTATGGCAGTTTGGTATCTTCGAAAACCTTGTCGTTACACGGAATGCTGCTTATCCGCTTCATTACGCCAGTAGGGATAATCTTCAGGATTTTTGGTGGGGGGGGGGGGGTTGACTGCAAGTCCATAATATATGATGGGGTGCTATTCGGTTTGCGATAAGATTGGTAGGTACTCGGGTGAGTTCCGCATCATGCCCGGAGGTGTGTCTCAGGATTGCGAAACTATCATAGCTGCATAATTCGAGGCTTCTTTCCTGAAGAAGAAGCCTCAGTTTACTTAGGATGTATTCACCCACCAACTCGAACACTTTGGCGACATCAAACGATCCCATCTTTACTTCAAAAACGTTATTGTTCTCTTTCTTCATCCAGGGTTCGCCCGCAGTCAAAATGCAAGGAATTGTTGCCCTGCAGCATTATGTCATTATCTATCTGGGGAATTTTGACATACAACCTGGCAGAAGATAATGCCTGTAGTATGAGCTATCTGGTGATTGATGGATAAAAATTCGCTTAAGTGAACACGAGAAATTCCTTGGCTTCTCGTTGAAGTAGCGGAGCCAGTTAATGACCGACTATCTGTTGTGCCATAAAGTGTGGCTGACGGTACTGCGGGGCATGCCAATTATCCCATGTTAAACTGCCTGGCTGACCATGCCTATTTTACATGTCGCGGGAGGTTTTAGCTGGCAGTGGAGGAAGTCAGTGAACTCGATCTTGTCGTCTTTCCATGTCACAAAAAAAACACTTTGTCTTCATGGCTTTGGCATTGATGTCGCTGTAGGCCGCATCTTAAAAAAGGGTATTTCTTGGTGATATTCTTGTGGAGTAGGATCTGATACTTTTCGGTAAGACTACAGTACAGGTTGCACAACTCGTTGGCTGAAACTGCCACCTGCGTTTAATGAAAATTGATATATTTGCCCCCCCCCCCATTCGGTGCGGTACTGGATAGCTTTGTCTGCTCTAGAGCTGGGTCAGCCGAGTCGGTGTACCGGTTTGGGCATACTTGAACCCGTTTGGAAAAAGAACACCGGGTCACCTGTGACCCGGCTGGGAATATTTAGTCATTATGCATCGGGGAGTCCTAAATAGTTACAACTCCGTAATGCAGTAGCAACACTTGGACGGACGTGGCGCTGGCCCGGTTTCATGGGTTGTGCCAGGTAAAAGTGAGCCTGATTGGCTTGAAATCCTAGTGCAGACACTGCATAGGTGCACTCACAGCTCTCAAATGTCCCGCAGTTCTTGCCAACGACATATGCATACTTACCCTGTCTGTCAAATTTACCTGCGCTTTAGCATTGCACAATATCTCAGCACACTCAGAAAAGCCTTTCTCGCAGGCTAGGTGGAGAGGTGTACGGCGCCACTAAGGCACACAAACAGTCAACAACAGGACTATTCATTAGTTGAAGGTGCTGAAAAGGGACCCAAAGTTTAAAGAAAAATTGACTGCCACTACCAGGATTCCAAAAATTTAGACCAGTGATGTTCAAACCACGGAGCTATGGTATAGCTGTCATCTCAGCAAAGACGGTTAATAATGTATTCAGCCTAAAAAAACTCACACTTCCTCTTACACTAACCAGGCTGGGGGGAGGGGAGGGAGGAGGGGAGGGTGGAGGACGGGAGGGGTTTCAGCTCCCACTATACGCACACTCTTCGATTAGCTCAATCCCAAACTACTGCTAGTACTTGACAAACCGAATGTATCAGACGCACATTGGTTGAGTGAGTTGAAAAGGGGAAAAAGGATTTCTAGAGATCCTTGACAAAAAGAGTGTAACATTCGAATTAACTTTCATGACACTCACTCCCAGCCCTGAAAAATGCTGTTAAAGTATTTGCATTCTCTCTTTGTGAAGTAAAAGAAGAAAACACATGGGAACGAGTTATGAAGCAACTATCCACGACTGTAAAAAAAAGTTAATTATCGTGTCAATTCCCGAAGGGAACTCACGACGGCCGCTAACACCCGGTAAACCCTAGCGGCAGATGCAGCGATGCAGCAGCGATGCAGCGATGAAGCAGATGCAGCGATGGGGTCCACGACTGTAACAAGATGATAAATAGGGCTGAAACGATGACACATCTGTGCCTAACGGTTAACTGTTAGCCTAAGGGTCGGTTAACAGTTATAACCTGTAAGACTGAGACAAAGAAACTTTATTGTTCTTGATGCCATTTATGCCGTTTTTCAAGAATGTTCATGATGACGGCCAAAAAACTCAAAACATTAATGACTAGTACAGTAGTAACATAAACTGGGTACCTATAAAGTGGATATATTGAAGAACAGGTCGAACTGACATGTCACTCAGTTATCTGAAAGTGACTGAAAAGGAATTTTAAACCTTTGCACATTGATTACCAGCACAGCCTGAAGCACAATTAGAAATTTCAGCACAATTTTCACCTTCAAACTGAGGTCATAACTTTAGCTTCCTTCACTTGATTTTCCCATTTTTGTGCTCTTTGGAAAGCTCCTGGTGAGAACAATGCAATGATACCAGGTTCCACGGACCAACCTCCACATACCAGGCGTAGGAACACAGCAAAGTCGTCCCCAAGCCTGGTATGCAAGTAAATTGGTCCCATCGACGCCATTTCACTCTCCTCCATTGCAGAATGCACACACATTACGGAGCATCAGCAAATCAAATTTCGGTTCCATTACAGACGGGTCAAAATGAAAAACTATGCGAAAATTCGAATGAAAAAACGGTTCAGCATGTAGCAGCAATTTTTGACTCCGCCACTCGAGTAAGTACTGCAGTCTTTAGTTCTTTTCGAGCTTGAGAAGTAAACCTTTTGAGATGTGCTGTGGTTGTTGCATTATAACAAGAGTACGTAAGCTTTGAATGGCAGGATAGCAAGTCGATTGCTGGACTCGCTTCTCCTCCTGGGTGGAGATCACCTGGATAGAACAGAGTTGCTGGTGTTTCTCGTGGTCGTTGAGGACAAAGCGAAGCGACGGATGCTTCATCTGGTTGAGGCCATTGGCGATCAGATCTCTTTGGCTGATCTTGATGAAGAGACTGCCATCAGCCGTTTTTGCTCTGTCGAGGCTCTGCTAAAAAAGTAACATTAGTTGGTGGTTACTTGGGCTAGGTCACGACTGTGCCGTGTGTTACAACAGCTGCTCCATGTACTGGACTGCACCGGAGCGCTGAGGGGTTTCATGTACGCAGATACGAGTACCGCTCCACTATGTACTAGTAACGTTACTGTAGCTCCGTGCAAGACCACTGCTCAATGTACTAGGGCATGGAGTGTGCGAGCTACATTTAAAACTACTTCTCTGTTTACAGGCCTTTTTCAGTCGAAAGAAGCCCTAGTTTCGACTCTTTGAGTGCCTGTAGTGACAATTCTCGAATTTCACTCGAAAATTCAATTTGCTGGTGCTCCAAATTATTTTTGAGACAATCAACTTCAAGCCTCTACGTTACTGTGCCTGTTCTCACTCACTCCAAAGGCACGCAAAAAAGGATTTTACACAGAGGATAGGTGCATTAGCCACGGCCTGGAACAACATGTTACGATGAAGACCCGAGGGGACAATATACTGGATCTGGTTATGTCTGACTATCTTTCTGATGTAAAAGTCCGTTGCAAACCTCCCCTTGGCGCCTCGGATGTAACTCTGATGGCTGAATTTCCCCCACTAGTGTCGGAGGAACGTCCCACGAAACGAGTATTCTGACCCTACAACCTAGCGCACCGGCCTCGACTTTCCCGTTTTTATCGTCAATCTGACTAGACCGCAGCCATCAGTCAATGTCCCAACAAATCATGTCATAATGTCACCGACATCATTTCACAAGGCATGAAGCAATTCATACCATCTCGTGACCTTGTAACCCGCCCGTCTGAACCTCCTTGGTGGACTCCTGACTATTCAGCACAGGCGAAGACAAAACAGGAAGCTTGGGACCGCTCCTGCTCGACTCCTCGTCCACAGCTACGACTGGGGGCCCTAGAGGCGACCAGGTGTTGCACTCACTATCTGCGCCAGGCGCAGGCAATACGCCTTGCCACGCCGAGGGACAAAATTTCACGTGGGAGCATGTCTGATCGAGAGTGGTGGTCCACGCTGAAGCAAGCAGGTGGTAGTGGGCGCAGCACACCCATACAAACACTTGTTGACACTAACGGCGTCCGGGTCACGGCCAACTCCCAGAAAGCAGAGCGCTTTGGCACGTTCTTTTCGTCAAAGTGCAGCCTCGGAGCAGATGACTTTCCAAACGATCTTCTATCAGACGATCTGCAACCTATAACACCTCGCACCGAGTCTCGGCTTACTACCGTCCACTTTTGAACGGATACTGTCAGAAGAGAGGTCAGAAGACTGAATCCCATGAAAGCCACAGGGTGCTGAAGAATTGTGCCAACGAGCTCTGCTTGCATGCCGCCCGGCTGTTCTCCTTGTGCTTTCGGCAGCAAGTGCAACCGAGGCAGTGGAACGTTGCCCGGGTTGTTCCGATTCACAAGAAGAAAGCTAGATCAGGCCTGAGCAACTGGCGCCCGGTGTCTCTCCTCTGCATTCTCTCCAAGACAGTGGAAACAATTGGCAACCACTGTTTTCTCTAAGCACGGTGTATTCTCCTCTCGGCAATATGGCTTCCGGAAGGGAGTGGGTACATCAGATCTGTTAATGATGCTGCACAACGACTGGTCATCCACTGCGGCGAGCGGCGGCATGGTACATGCACTGGCCATCAACATCGCCGAGAAGTTTGACAAGGTTTCACATCGAGGTGTCCTCCATAAAGCAGAGGCATGCGGCATCAGTGATCCTTGGCTGGCTCTCAAACTACATCTGCTGCCGGCAACTACGTGCTGTAGTCGGAGTACAACAGTCATTGGAATACCCTGTGCTTTCTGGGGTCCCCAGGGCAGCATCCTGGGCCCAACCCTGTTTCTGGTTTACATAAACGACTGTGAGGAAGTAATACCGGATAGCACCTCTCTGGGTGTATACGCAGATGATGCCACCGTCTACCAATGTATTGCGGCCACGTGTGACATCCCGGAGAGTGCGACCTAGCTTCAGCTTGCCGTGGACTCCATCGCTCGATGGGGTGCTGAGTGGAAAATAGCTTTCGAACCGACCAAGTCCCAGGCACTCACGATTGACTTTCACCGTCCGGCAACACCTCTTCCCCACATACTGTTCAACGGTACCAGGGTGCCTGAAGTGGGCGAGATAAAGCTCCTAGGGGTTTTGTTCGACACAACACTGCGATTCTTGGCCCACATACGCCAGGTTGCCACCAGGGCCCACCAACGCTTCCACTTTCTCCGGAAGATGGCGCCACTTCTGACCGCACCTGGCCGTATTGCTGTGTACAACGGCTTCATACAACCAACCATGGAGTACTGCTGTCTAGTATGGATGGGGGCTCCACTAGACTGCCGGGACGCTGTACAACACAGGCACTAAAGCTGATAGGCCCTCGAGTCTCCGTACCAAGCCTGGAGCATAGGCGCAGGGTGGCGTCCCTGAGCTTCCTGTACAAGCTCTGCTTCCTTCCACCGACGAGCCACTTGAAAGCAATTATGCCCAAACCTCTCCAGCTGGCAGATGAAACCCCCAACACCCGTCTCTCGGCCCAGGGACGCCAGTAACATTACTTCCCCGTGTGCCTGCCTTGCCGTTCCCGCTCAACCATGGCCAATGCTCTCCCTGTTTGCGTGCTGAGCGCATGAAACTCCCTACCTCGGAGAATCTTCACACAGCAGCCATACAAGGACGGGACGCTGCAGTTCAAGAAGATGGTCCACCTTCACCTGTTGACCGGCAACTGGATGCAAGCAAGTCTTGTAAGCCTGCTACATGAACTTGCTGAACTACACGCTCTCATGTATTCCCTTTCTCAATCTACCCCCCCCCCCCCCCGCCTCCCCCTCGCGCTTCCCCTGTTCTTTCTCTTTCCCTCAAACTTCCATTTATCTGGTGCCTCCAGAGCATGACGATGTCTACACCAGTTGGTCGACGGAGCGCCTGGCCCCCACCACCATGGTTGCTCCATGTTCCCATTGCATGCACCACATGGCTTTTAGTAAAAATATAAAAGAACTCAGTGTTCCTCCTTCCTCTGGGTCACCTTCTTTTTACCAACTGCCTTATCAACGAACTGCATTTACTGTGGACGACCGCTGGCGACAAAGACATACTGGTATGGCAGTTTGGTATCTTCGAAAACCGTCTCGTCACGCGGAACGCTGCTTATCCGCTTCATTACACCAGTAGGGATAGTCTCCAGGATTTTTGGTTGGTGGTTGGACTGCAAGTCCATATATGATGGGGTGCTATTCAGTTTGCGACAATATTGGTAGGCACCCGGGTGAATTCCGCATCATGCCCGGAGGTGTGCTCAGGATGGCGAAACCATCAAAGCTGCATAATCCGATGCTTCTTTCCTGAAGAAGAAACCTCAGTTTACTTAGGATGTATTCACCCACCAGCTCACACACTTTGGCGACAGCAAACGATCCCATCTTTACTTCAAAAGCGGTATTGTTCTCTTTCTTCATCCAGGCTTCGCCACAGGTTGAGGCTCACGGTACTGCGTAGCATGCCAGCGATCCCACCTAAAACTGCCTGGCTGACCATGCCTAGTTTACATGTCGCGGGAGGTTTTACTGGCTGTGGAGGAAGTCAGTGAACCTGGTCTTGTCGTCTTTCAATGTCACAAAAAAAACACTGCGTCTTAGCAAGTAACCAATCTCATATCATCTCAGCCAAGCTCTGTAGCGGTCTTCATAGCTTTGGCATTGATGTCCCTGTAGGCCTCATCTGAAAAACACGGGTATTTCTTGGTGATATTCTTGCGCAGTAGGGTCTGATACTTTTCGGTAAGCATACAGTACAGGTTGCGCAACTCATTGGCTGAAACTACAACGTGCATTAAATGAAAATTGATATATTTGCCCCCCATTCGGTGCGATACTGGATAGCTTTGTCTGCTCCAGAGCCGGGTCAGCCGAGTCAGCGACCCGGTTTGGGTATACTTGAACCCGTTTGGAAAAAGAACACCAGGTCACCTGTGACCGGTTTGGGACTAAACATCGGAGAGTCCTAAATAGTTACAACTCCGTAATGCAGTAGCCACACTTGGACGGACCCGGCGCTGGCCCGGTTGCATGGGTTGTGCCAGGTACAAGTGTGCCTGATTGGTTTGAAATCCTAGTGCAGACACTGCATAGGTGCACTCACAGCTCCCAAATGTGCCACAGTTCTTGAAAGTCAACGACATATGCATACTTACAGAGTCTGTCAAATTAACCTGCGCTTCAGCATTGCACAATATCTCAGCACACTCAGTAAAGCCTTTCACGCAGGCTAGGTGGAGAGGTGTACAATCCCACTAAAGCACACAAACAGTCACCAACAGGACTATTCATTAGTTGAAGGTGATGAAAAGGGACCAAAACTGTAAAGAAAAATTGGCTGCCACTACCAGGATTTGAAAAATTTAGACCAGTGATGTTCTAACCACGGAGCTATGGTACAGCTCTCATCGCAGCAGAGACAGTTGAATAACTTATTCAGCTGTTTTCTGATGATCGCTTAGTGCGTGAAACTCTGAGTAAAAACACTTCCTCTGTCCCCCTATTGTTTTAACTTATTCAGCCTACAAAACTCACGCTTCCTCTTACACTACCCAGGCTGGGGGGGGGAGGGGAGGGGGAGGGGTGGGAGGGGCTTGAACCAGGGGCGTACGCCGCTCGCCTCCAGGAGGGGTTCCCATGCCAACTGGTCAACCAACATTCCACACAATTGCAAGGGCTGTTTTTCGTATCCGAAGTAGTTTCTGCATATTCTCCTCAGACTGGGTGGAATTAACATCCACAAGCTGCTGGACGATGTCATTTCTGCGCATTTCTGATTTAAGAAGACTGAACTTTCCCTCGTTTTATGGATGTTTTGTTCAGCATGACAATTGCATGCAGTCTTGAATCGGGGTATATTCGAGAGGACTGCGGTTAAGCTGCCCAAGCTTCAAATCATCTGGAGCAAACATCACACAGGGTAAGCATAAGCCACCATTGCACGCCGGTCGAAAGGATACCCAGGGAAACTCCTCCAACAAGGATAGTTGAAAGCAGCGCTGTTTGCCATCCATCTCATTCTGCACACGCACAGGAAATGAATTCCGGCCTTCGCCTTCGGTGGCGCACAATGATTGTCGATGACGGAAATCTTTTCCGTGTCCGGCAAATTTCGGGGGACTGGATTCAACTGTGGAAGTCGACTTTCAGAATATCCCTTCCAACACACTCCTATGTCACTGAAGTAAGTCTTGGATGATCCAGCAGCTTCCAACAACGGTCGCTCTACAAAATCGCCGGCGATTTCTTCCTCAGCGCTGCGCGTTGCAGACTCCGTTTGCAAATTAGGTGCGTCTGCATTCTCATCTATCGCTTGACCTTTGCCACTGGCTACATGGTTTACCTGCTGCTCAAAATAGCTCTGAATAGAGCGATGGCCCTCTGGATGTCGACGCTTCATTTTATTTCCAAAGAGCGAAAGCATCGTCGAAAACACAACCAACTTTGTCAAAACGAGAGAGCTTGGAAGCTCAGGGCCCTACGCTATGCTTTTTGCCTTGATGACCTAGACAAAAAAAAACATAGGGATGTTATAAATTCTTTAAAAAAATCCTTTTTTTTCAAGACATATTAAACCTGGGATTCGAACCCGCACTATCGCGCGCCCGGCATGCATCCCCCGATACACTTCGCATACATACTAATTCTTCCAAGTTGTTTCAGATTGTGATCTTGCATTTGAAAGCCCTATTTGAATATGCATTGTGGCCAGCCGTCTTTGATGGCACGGTACGGTAGGGGATAGGTACGGGACAGGTAATACGACACCGTATTCCGTATCGTACCGTACCATCAAACACAGCTGGCCACATACAGCTGCCCACTATATTCAAATAGGGCTTTCAAACGCAAGATAATAACGTGAAGCAACTTGGAAGAATGGGTATGAATGCGAAGTGTATGGGGGAATGCATGTAGGGCGATAGTCCGGGTTCAAATCCCAGGATATGCCTGAAAAAAAAATAGGAGAATTGAAAAATTTATAACATCCTATGCTTTTTTGCAGTCAGATACGGATAGCGCCAGGCGTGACACAAACAAACAAACACACAAACAAATACCAAACGAGAGAGCTTAAAAGCTCAGGGCCCTACGCTATGCTTTGTTACTTAGCTCATCGTGCATGTTGTGGGAACTGATGGAAATGTTTCCTGGGAAGGCGCTGACTGTGCCGAGCACGCGCGTTCTGGAGTCGACGGGATCACTCTGCCGACGTTTCCTGTGACCAGCGCTGACTCGCCCGTTCACGCCTGTTTTGGAGACGACGGGATCTCTCTTCCAAAGTATGTTTTTGCTGACGCATCCTATCACCTATTCGGCAACTAACATCCATTCTAATTTCATTTCCTCCTCGTCTCCCTATTTCTTTCCAGAAAGTCTCTCTATACATCAGGGAGTCGTACTGTATTGGCAGCTACCCTAACGGGTCACGCCGCCCACCACCCAAGCATGGGTATGATGAGGGACAGTGGCAACAGAAACAAAAAACAGCAAGCAGGGAGAGAAAGCAAGAGAAAGACGGCGATAGTAGTACATCTGGTGTGCGACGTATAGAAAAGAGAGATGACAAGAGATGCGCACAAAATACGAAACAATAATTATTTTTGCAGTTCCGAAACAATCAACCAGGTGATGGAGTGTGGGCACCCGAAGTCCCACCTGGACTCCACTGGAAGAACATCCCACGCAGGGATATCAGCGATAGGCCAAGCGTTGAAAAACAGCCATGAGGACACATCGTCTAGAAGTCCACCGCGCTCGAACTGAAATTGCAGGTTCAAACAATTTCCCACGCGGCGTCAGGCAGCGTAACTCTTCTCCCTGCATCACCATCCATCTCCAGCAACCGTCTCCACTCACAGCTCATGCCTCTGCCACCACTGTACTCCTCCGAGCTTCGCAGTTTGAAACTATTCGGGGGTCAGCTACACCACCGCGAATGGAGAGAAGTGGACGACAACGGTCGTGACTGAAAAGACACTGCCTAGGCGACCGCGTCGCGGAACCCTCGCCCCAGCAAATTCAGAAATACGCCAGGGGCAACTCTGGTGGACCCAGAGCCACCCCCTTGGCAAGACTAGTAAGAGGAACGACTGAAAACTCAGATAAAATGGAGCTACAAAAAGTGCAACCGTCCCCTTCAAGCACAGTTGCAACACACAGGGAGTCGTATACATGTACATAATATTGTGGCCAGCTGTTTGTAGCCAGCTGTGTTTGATGGTACGGTACGGTACGGGACAGATAAGGGAGCCAGCAAATGGCCAGCTGTGCGATACGGTACGGGGCAGATACGGGATAGCGCCAGGCGTGACACAAACAAACAAACAAACAAACAAACAAACAAACAAACAACCAAACACCAAATTAAAGCTGTGTGGACCCTGGCTAGCGCCAGACGTTACTGAAGTAACGTCTTCTGCATAGCTACGGGAATTAAAGCTGTGTGGACCCTGGCTAGCGCCAGACGTTACTGAAGTAACGTCTTCTGCATAGCTACGGGAATAAACTATTATTATTACTTCGTAGTAAGCACTGCCGCGTTCAAGTCGGTGGATCCAATTAGGTCCACCCACAGGTTCGCTCGTGCTGGATAGATTAAAGTAAGGGGGAAATGATTTGATGATGTTGAGCTACGTGATAAAGAATAGTTTCCAAAAAGATAAACACGGTGTGACAAGGGTAAAGACTGCACGCAAGGCAGTGACTAAATAGTCCTGCACGTGGAAATAGCACTGAACAGTGCAGTGCATGTAATAATTCCATTTGTTCCTGTAATAGTTAATCTTCTGACTGTAGATGGTATGATAATGTAGTTACGGGCAGAACCTCCTTGAAGCACGCATAAACCTTGCACTACAGGGCATTGCACAACTCCTTCCAGCTGCCGCTGTCCTGCAAAATCTGATGCAGGCGTTGTAGGTCGTGCAGGTTATCGAGTTGACCATTGCTGGACATCTTCAGATCGGCTGATAGAACCGACTGGATATTGGTGCGTGATCGGCCCCTCCATTTCTTGGCATCCTTGGCTTTGAAGTAGTACTCCATTGCCATTCTTGCTGGACACTCATCTGGCAAACGAAGAATGTGGCCCAGCAAACGCCACCTCGCCATCTTAACACCACGGCTCAGAGGCTCTATGCCTAGGGCCACATTGGAGATTTTCTGCGGCCATTTTACTTGGATCAGTGATCTGACGCATCCAGCTGCTCTAGTGCGGACTTGGTCAGTGCCCAAGTGCTAGAGTTATTCAGGAGAATAGGAAGTACAAGTGCCTTGTACAATCTCATTCTCCGCTTCTCGCTGATGATGGATCCTCTCTTCCAGAGTGACCACAAAGATGAAAATGCTACTGCAAAATAAACTGCAAATGAAAATTTGACTCTGAGATCGAGGAATCCGGCGATGTAACTAGAAATTTTGTTGCGCCCAGTTCAGTACGCTGTGTCCCAGCACCACTTTTACACCTGGGCTAGCGCTAGTCACCGTCCTCGGACTGTTAGGCATGCACTGCCGGGCCTGGATCAAAAAATTCTCCGTACCCATATCAATTTTTTTTACTGGTTCCCGGGCATCCCGGGAACCGCCCTCTGTACGCCCTTGGTCGTTTCAATCCCAAACTACTGATAGTACTTGACAAACCTAATGTATCAGACGCACATTGGTTAAGTGCTTTGAAAAGTGAGAAAATAGACTTCTAGAGATCCTTAGCAATAAGAGCGTAACATTAAATTAACTTTCATGGCACTCACTCCCAGCCGTGAAAAATGACGTTAACATATTTGCATTCTCTCTTTGTAAAGTAGAAGAAGAAAACACATGGGAACGAGTTATGAAGCAACTATTCACGACTGTAACAAGATGATAAGTAGGGCTGAAACGGTGACACATCTGTGCCTAACGGTTAACTGTTAGCCTAACGGTCGGTTAACAGTTATAACCTGTAAGACTGAGACATAAAACCTTTATTGTTTTTGACGCCATTTTATGCCTTTTTTCAATAATTTTCATGATGATGTACAAAATGAAGTTGAAGACACCACTGCAGCTGTACTTATGGTTGATAAATATGGTGGTAAAGACACACCTGCTATGGCGTTGCTGTGTCATTTTCTATGTGCAATGCGCTACTTGATGTACCAGCCTGCTATGTCGGATATCGCCAACCATGCATCGACGAGGCGCCAGGCGCAAACTGATGGTGGTGGTGGTGAGAAGGAGAGCTCTGTGCCTGAACTTGCAGCTTAGAGAGCGT